TTAAAGAAACTCAGTCATTCTGTCATTGTTTGTGGAGATACGAATTACTATTGATCGATATATAAATTATATAAATATACAATATAAAAAATAAATCTCCCACTGTCTTCGACATTTCAAAGTGTACACTGTGTCTAGTGATGAGAATCAAGGAATTTATTTTATGTGTTAATATAAACCAAGCCCGTTTAGCCGTTTAGCTGCCTTAAAACGGTGGTTTAATAAGCTCATAGTTAATAGAGGATAAGCTCAAAATACAAAGCATGCAAGTCTGTACTATAGATTCATCATCAGTCAACAACCAAACTGAAAGTATTGAACCTTATAGAACGATAGTTTTTATTTGTTTACAACTATACATATTCAACGGGTATATAAGAGTTTAACTGTTATTTGATAATTACTGCATCAACCGGCCCCTTGTTTATACTTTGGAGGTTCGTATATATTAATATCTATCATTCTATCAAGTATCTTTGGTTCAGAACATGACTGATAGGCCCATATGGAAATCCCACTGTTCGATTCAGTGAAGAAATATCTCCTAATTTCTATCGATAGTTTTAGTAAAATGTCAACATTATTGCGATTTATGGCCTTTGAAAGTCAAGCGAGATAGTATATTATCAAATTAATACGCATGTAATTGTCTGAACGAAAATATAGACTAGCCCATACCTTTCGCCGATCATACCTTCGGCCCCTTCGGACGTATCTTCTTTGTTAAATATTCTTGTTCGAATCTCTATCAAAAACACTATTTAGAGTGTTATTTTTCAGCTTGTATCTTTTAATTTGCTTCTTTTATTATGTTATTCCATTTCTGGTCTGACTTGACGTGAACTAATTTCAAAACGCAGAGTTTCAAAACGTCAAAACATTTTGTTAATGATTAACATTTAACCGAATTTACCCGTTGATTGACAACTACATAAAAATACTAACCAATCCGTTTTTCCCGTTCACCAGCGGACGGGTAATTCAAAAATCCCTAGTTTTGCGGCAGACGGTATTTCCTTTGCTTCCCTAATTTTCGCTGCCCGTAGAAATACCGCCTGCCATGCAGGCTATGCCAAACGTAGTATATTATTTCCTAACGTACCAGCCGTTATTCCATGACTGCTACAGCATATAAACTTGACCGAAGGCACATAATTGCATAATTGCTTTGAGTTGGTTGCAAATTTTGACAGAAAGAATATCTTTAACGAAAATGGAATTGGAGGACATTTGGAAACCAATTTATGCTGTAATGTATGCAAAACGCAATGTTTATGTGTTGGGTGTATTTTAGATATGGAAAGGGAATGTTTTTACCTGATTAGACACATATATTTGGGCCTGTGAAATATTCTTGACTTTGTACCAAATGAATAAACAATTATTCACAAATGTGAATTTTGTTGAACTCGGTTTTTTTAAAAGTGGGCACAAGTTGCACTATGTTCACACTCTCTCATATATATGTCATCATTTGCATATATAAACTCAATTTACTTCATGGACAATACAAAAACCCATACAGCAGTGCTAGAACAAAATTCTAATTATATATATATATATATATATATATATATATATATATATATATATATATATATATATATATATATATATATATATATATATATATATATATATATATATATATATATGAATGGGTGTGAGGTACCATGTCTGGATAGTGTTAGCCTGCGTGGCAGGCGGTATTTCTACGGGCAGCGAAAATTAGGGAAGCAAAGGAAATACCGTCTGCCGCAAAACTAGGGGTTTTTGAATTACCCGTCCGCTGGTGAACGGGAAAAACGGATTGGTTAGTATTTTTATGTAGTTGTCAATCAACGGCTAAATTCGGTTAAATGTTAATCATTAACCAAATGTTTTGACGTTTTGAAACTCTGCGTTTTGAAATTAGTTCACGTCAAGTCAGACCAGAAATGGAATAACATAAATAAAAGAAGCAAATTAAAAGATACAAGCTGAAAAATAACACTCTAAATAGTGTTTTTGATAGAGATTCGAACAAGAATATTTAACAAAGAAGATACGTCCGAAGGGGCCGAAGTTATGATCGGCGAAAGGTATGGGCTAGTCTATATTTTCGTTCAGACAATTACATGCGTATTAATTTGATAATATACTATCTCGCTTGACTTTCAAAGGCCATAAATCGCAATAATGTTGACATTTTACTAAAACTATCGATAGAAATTAGGAGATATTTCTTCACTGAATCGAACAGTGGGATTTCCATATAGGCCTATCAGTCATGTTCTGAACCAAAGATACTTGATAGATATTAATATATACGAACCTCCAAAGTATAAACAAGGGGCCGGTTGATGCAGTAATTATCAAATAACAGTTAAACTCTTATATACCCGTTGAATATGTATAGTTGTAAACAAATAAAAACTATCGTTCTATAAGGTTCAATACTTTCAGTTTGGTTGTTGACTGATGATGAATCTATAGTATAGACTTGCATGCTTTGTATTTTGAGCTTATTAAACCACCGTTTTAAGGCAGCTAAACGGCTAAACGGGCTTGGTTTATATTAACACATAAAATAAATTCCTTGATTCTCATCACTAGACACAGTCTACACTTTGAAATGTCGAAGACAGTGGGAGATTTATTTTTTATATTTTATATTTATATAATTTATATATCAATAGTTCGTATCTCCACAAACAATGACAGAATGACTGAGTTTCTTTAAAATACAATGAAATTTCACTCAAAATTCTGTTTGTTTCAAATTGGAAGTTTAAAATGGCAATAAAAACTCTATATAAAATATGAAAAAATTAACTGTCTTGAATTATTTTGTCGGGCGGTACATTTATATTGTATAACGAAAAATAAAACGTTTTCACGAGGATTTTAAAATTCAGTCGGGCGGTGATGAGAATCAAGGAATTTATTTTATGTTGGGCAGTTGGGACTTGGGAGCAGCTTGGGAGTGGCTAATTTTGAATATTTACTTAATTAATGCATCTATAAATAGCGTTGATGCTTCAAGGGCGGTAGTTCATTTACACCCAGTTTTGCGGCAGGCGGTATTTCCTACGTACCGCCTGCCATGCAGGCTACGTCAACAGCTGCCTTTCTTTTTGGTCGATTCTTCTTCTCTACAACGGCAGTCTTATTAACATCACTGTCTAATGGTTCTGTACTGAGATCTTGTGTTCCGGATGATTCTTCATTCACATCAACTAGTTCTCCTTCTTCTTGTTACCGAATTTCGAGCGAATTTCCAATGGGATTAAATGTTGTATAGGTCTTCGTATGATGATAGGCTTTCGAGTCTCACTGTTCAACACTCGAATCTTCGCTGATCTTACAACACCGTCAATACTTCGAATAAGCTCTTCGACCTTGGCTATTTTCCAAAATAACCATTTCGTGCTCTCGTTCTTCAAAATTACAATGTCTCCTTCGGCAATTACGTCCCTTGTACCGTTGTTACTCAAGCTCGCTGCTTCGCGAATGCTTAGCAGATATTCTCGTCTCCATTGTTTAGTGAATTCCTTTAGTAGAGTTTTGTGATGTCGAGCTCGTCTTGTCAAAGACTCGTTTGTGCTCACTATCTCGAACTATCTATCGCTTGACGTAGTCGTCGTTCTCCGTCCATAAAGTAGACAAGATGGCGTAAGGGGGTAGGATATCCCTTCTTCATCGTCATATATGTGCGTAATTGGACGATTATTTAACGTTAACTCAATCTTGATCAAGATCGTGCGTAACTCTTCAAACGATAACGTAGCTCGACCAATGGACCTTTTTAGGCATCTTTAACACTCTTTATCAAACGTTCCCAAAAACCCCTGTGCCATGGGGCCTTTTCGATAATGAATTTCCAAGAAACGCCATTGTTTGCGAGATGTTGTTGCACTTGGGGAGAACGCTTAATTTTTTACAGTTCCTTGCTGGCGGATTTAAATGTCTTTGCGTCATCTGAAATTATCATTCTTGGAAGTCCTCTCCGACCTGAAAATCTACGAAATGCTTGTAAAAATCCTTCGGCTGATACACTCGGAAGCAGTTCTACATGAATTCCACGTATTGACGCACAAGTAAATAGAGCGATGTATGACTTTTTGTTGATTGTTGCCAACATTTTGTGTTCTCTTGTACGTTGAGGGGTCCAGCGAAATCCAGTCCTGTGAAACTAAAGGGAGGGTCATCACTTGTTCGCCAAGATGGTAGGTGCGGAGTCTTGGACGTAGGGTACGGCTTCCCTTCTAATCTTTTACAAGTCACACATTTACGTAGAACTCGCTTGACTGGTTGCCTTCCATGTAGGATCCAATATCTTTCTCGAATACGGTTCAGTGTTCCTTTAATACCAGTGTGGTTTGCTGAATCGTGATGTTCTTGGATGATCAAATCTGTACCGTGATGCTTTGCGGGAAGGAGTACAGGTTTCTTAGCTTCAGAAGAAATAGAAGAATGTTCAATTCGTCCTTCACTGCGTATCATTCCTTTTTCGTCCAGAAATAAACGTAGTTGATCAAGCCTTGAGCTGGAAGTTTTCGTACGATTAATTAATTGTTTAACTTCTTCGGGAAACATATTGTTCTGAATATCCTCTATCCATATCTGTTCGGCTTCGACCAGTTCGTCTGCTGATAGTTCTAACGTTCTATCTACGGTTTGTCCTTTAATTCTCCTTACGAACCTAAATACGTAAGCCGTCACTCGTAATAATCGTGTTCTCGAACTATATCGATGACAATCCACCACCCTTCCGACATTAACTGTGTTATGTTTCTTCTCTAAGACTGTAAAGGAATGATTTGTTGACTTGTTGACTGATTTTACCGTTTCCGATAATGCGATTTCACATTCTGCTCCATTACATCGAGAAGGTTTCGGCCAGTTTTCTTCTGATAACTTCTGGAATTTAGGACCATGGAACCATTCGTCGTTAACCAGTGCTGCTCCACTACAACCTTGCGAAGGTAAGTCAGCAATGTTAAATTCTCTTGGGCACAACATCCATTTATCCTCTCCAACGAGTTTTCGAATTCCGTCGACTCTTCTCTGTATGTACTGTTTCCACGGTTTATCATTTTGTATCCAACAAAATACGATAAACAAATCAGTCCACATGAATATCTTCGGATTTACTAATCGAGACCAAAGGATCTTGCTAATCGAGCTAGCCAATCGAGCAAGGAGAGTAGCTCCTAGAAGTTCCAACCTAGGAATAGACTGCTTTCGTATCGGAGCGGCTCTAGTCTTGGATGCTATGATGTTGGTTTCAACATGATGGTCTTCATACTCTGTTCGCAGATAAACTGACGCTGCGTGTGCTTTTCCGCAGGCATCACAAAACCCATGGATTTGCTGGCTCGTTATTGGTACATTGAAACGACTGAAGTAGCAACTTGGCACTTCAATTAAATAGACTGACTCTAATCCTTGTAACAGCGAGTTCCAACATGCTAATGAATTTTCATCGAGTTTCTCATCCCAATCTACGCGATCACAACAAAGCAACTGGAATAAGATCTTAAAGCCGGTTTTCCACTAGGCGGAATTTTG